CCCCGGCCTCCCGGGCCTGAGGGGAGGTCTTCACCCTGCGGTACCGGGTGCTGCTGCGGGGCCCGCTGCTTTCGAGGGCACGAGGTGAGGCCTTCCCCGGCCTTGGGCTGGGGCAGGACCGCGCTGTTCCCCACAGGCTGTGCGCAAGGGTGGCGGGGACACCCCAGGAGGAGCCAGGCTGGCCCTGAGTCGCCTCGGACAGAAGAAGAGGTGTCAGGCCTTCGCCAGGCCGCCATCCTGCCTCTGCACGGAGCTGAGCAGCATGGGGTGACAGCGGGAGGAACGTTTTGTCAATTAAGCCCAAACTGATGTCCTTTACGATCAGGGAAGATGGGGAAGGTGTTAATCCCAGCACGCCTTCCCAGCAGTCGCTCTGTGCCCACGTAGGGATTCACCTGTGGTTCCAGTTCTTCACCGAAATCTTTGCAGCATTGAGGTGGCATCCTCACTGAGAGTGAGGTGGGTGTGTTAAGAAACGAAGTTAGAAAGGTGCAGAGGGCTCTGCTGCATTGAAAGGGGTTTCCTAAACTGAGATGGATTATAACATAGGTCCTTCCTGCCTGTTTGGTGTGGCGTAGGGTCAGGTTGGGCGCACAGTTCGAGTTCAGCCAGCTGGCACCACCAGCTTCAGTATTGCTGGCTGGCTCGCTTCTCTCCCCAGCCAGGAGAGCCCTTCTGTTGGTTGCATGGCGGTCCTGCGTGAGACCTGCATAAGAGCTGAGCCCCTCTTTACCACCTGTCTGTAGAAACAGAACAGGAAAACATTTGCTGCGCCAAAGAGCTTATTAATGTAAGGCAGAAAGCAAAAGAATGGCGCATAAAGCACCCCAGCTGTCTGACCATTGCTTAATCTTTGCACGATGCCTCGCATCTGAAGTATGAGACTTGCCCTGTTTGCAGCCTGTTCTGTCAACATCTGTGGCAAAAACAGTTTGGGTGAAAAACATTGTGCAAATGGCCAGCGTACTTAAGTTTGTGTTCATGCTCCCTAACACTTTGTTTCTCTTTCTGCTGTTATTATTTTAAATTTGAAGCCAATCTGAGCAGGATTCGGATTCTGCCAGGCTGCTAAAGATAATTAGCTGCCTCTTATCCCTTTTTCTATTAAGAGACATTTATATGATGGACTCCTTAAGTTCAAAACACTTCTCTTCTAGCAGACATTTGCTGTTACGTGCCCTAAGTTTGGCAGACCAAAGTTAAGCATCTCGCTTTGCCTTCTGGTTATTTCTGCCTTGATTTGCAGTAGGGTGCTAGTCTCAAGCAAGTACCCATCATTCCGAGCCATCATGTATTCTGTGCTCTGGTTCATGCCATAATCAATAATTCATGTGTCGATAACAGCCCCATTAGCGGAGATGAAGACAGTGTCCGTATTTAAAATAAGAATATTCTGCTTTCCTAATGGCTTTTCTCTTTTTCAGAGAGTTGTGGTTGTGGAAGACATAAAACGATGGAAGTCTATGCTTGAGCTTCCTGGGCAACCGAAAGAGAATCTGATCGAAGCTTTGGAGGAGCTGAAGAAGAAAATACCTTCCAGGGAAGTGTTACTTTCAACAAAAATAGGTAGTCTTCTCTGATCTAGACTGAATATTAGACTCTCTTGTGTCCGCTTGGCTTGTCAGTACAAAAGAGACTATAAAGAGACTACCGTGCAAGCTTTTTAAGAAATTAGTTGTGGTCTCAAAAGGTTTATCCAATCACTGAATAAAAAATTGTTGGTATTCAGCCTGCAGTTTTCAGTAGTTGTACTGAAAAAGACAGCTATCCTCTAATTTCTCCTAGGTTGCCTGCTTATTACCAAATACTGCCTCACCCCTTCTGTGCTCAAATTTTTGAAGAGCTCTTCTTGGGCACCTGTGTGTGTTATTCCTTCTCCTGCTATCTGTCAGGAGCATGGCAGAGCACTCTCTTTCCATCTGAGACATGGCTCATCTATTTGACCTGGCTGAATCCTTTGAACATGTGAGAAATTCTTTTCAGATTGGCCCAGAACTGCTTACTGCATCCTCACACTGAGAAATCCCCGGCAGACAGGCAGCTCCATGCAATGACAGCCCTATGTTTGGCTCTTTTCAGTAGGACTTGGGGGAGGGATAATGTGAGACCACATGGTCCCTGTCTTTGGAGGGCGTCCTGGCACGAGAGATGGTTGTGCTGCCCTTTGTTTGCCCTCAGAGCAGCTGGATCTCTATTCAAAGAGCTCCCCTTGGTTTAGAAAAAGAGATGTGATCTGCCCCTTTCCCCTTACTTCTGAATTGTCATTTCATTTGCCATGTTCATTATTTAGGCTTTTCCCGAGATTTTTTCCTGGTGCCTGCCTGAACGCGACTGGGCTGGAAAAGCCACTGAAGCCTAACAGTGACATCTCCTGGCCAACAGTGCTAGTGGTCAGAGAGACGTACCCCGCTGGAAGAAGGTCCCTTTTGTCTCTCTCGGAGGAAACCTTCTTTGCAGGCCCTGTCGATTGGAAAGATTCTGCTTGGAGTCACCGCGATGTTTGCGTGTTAAAATGCTATAGCCATCACCAGCAACATCTGCTTCCTTAAAGGGATTTTCAGTTTAAAAACAGCATTCTTTGTACGCCGATCTTACAAGCTTTCACCAGATCTAGTATCTGTGTAGAAAATTAACGTAGCCCTGTATTACATATGTGTCTCTCCACACCTTCGTGACTTGGGAAGGTAATTTTCACATGTATAGGTCAGTTCCTTGCTAATTGCTCAGGCAAAAATCACTGCAAAAGTCAAGGAGTGAGAACTTCAGGCTTCACTCCTAATAATTTTATATTTATATTTGTGTCAATGCTCTGGTTGTTTTGCTGACAGTGCCTGAATTAAAAATGTGTGTGGTTGCTTTAGCGCCAATATGATTTGACTGACGTCCATTGTATTTTGTCCACCTACCAAAGCTGAAGGAGCTGTTGCTGTTTTCCAGGTCACACAGTGAATAAGATGCGCAAACATTCAGATCACGATGTGGCCAGCCTTGCCAAAGATATTTACACAGAGTGGCGAACTTTCATCAAAGACCATTCAAACAAGCCCTCAATAGAGGTCAGGAGCGATCCCAAGACCGAGGCTTTCAGAAAGAATGCGCGGAAGCTGCTTTGTGAAGCCCTGGATCTAGAGGTAGCATTCAGATCCATTTGTCTTTGGCTCAGATAGTTACTTCTCGTAGGAACAAGTTAAACCTTTTTCAGCCATAGCGGCTGTAAAGCTGGTCCTGCCTGCAGAGTGGGGACAGGACCAGATGATCTGTTCGTATTTTCAGTGATTCACTGCACGTCCCTACTTACAAGTAGCTTTATTTTCAAGGTAGATAATTTTTTTTTGTGGTTGTTAACCAAGTAAACATGCTAACTGTAGGTGAGGTCTATTTGCTGTCATTTACATAACCAGTCAACAAAATAGTTGTGTATCTACTGCAGTTGGGCTGTAGAAGAGAAGGAGGAAGTTAATAGAACATAAAGTTTTTCCTACTACTCAGCAGCTGTGAAAGCAACACTGGGACCTTTTGGGTGTTTCATATTTAAGTAATTAAACATTTGTAAATTTAAATCTACTGCAAAAACAGAGAGGCAAGGTTGACAGTATATAAAGTGATGATAAATACCAGATCCCTAAGGTATCTTTAAGTAAATGAACAGGGCTTTGCTGTAAGGCTTAATGACTAGTTTGCTTGGACTATGAAATGCCATAATAATTATCCTTTTTAATTTATTCATTAATTATCCTTTAAATGGCAAGTCAACTGATAAGCACTCAAGAGTTTCAAAGCTATGTGTTTGCTAGCTATGAGAACAACCTCTCCAACTTCCAGTCCATCTGGACTGAGGCAGCACAAAAGGATGGTTTGCTGTGGGAATGCCTCAAAAGGTGGGAGCTCACCTTTGCCAAGCCGCTGCGTCAAGCTTAGTTCTTGGAAAGCACGTCTATGCATGGTGATAAGACTGGTAGGAAAGTCTGAACCTATGAGGCATAAAAGCTATGGTACCACCCTAAAACAAGTAGTATTGGGTAAAGCAGAATCACCTCTGAACAGGACTCATCTGAGAACACGGCAAGGAAAACTACTCTTCTGGCTTGCAGCTACCACCATATCTGTAAGCGGAGCTTATAGCAGCAGACGAACAGCATATATAGCAGGGGAGCCACAAAGGTCCAGCAAATGGGGAGCAGGGACACCTGAGAGGCTGACAAGGCGGAGAAGGGAGAGTGGGGCTGAATGGATCCAAGGGGCTTCTAGTGCTGCCCAGCAGAGCGGCTATTTATTCACGGGCAGCAAAAACAGAGTGGGCAAAGGACTTGGAGGAATACTACTTGGCACGCTGGAATCTCCTGCATGCAAAGCATGGGAGATTCCCCATCACAAAAGGCAGAAGTGAAATTAAAACCATTTCTTGATGGGTGGGAGATTTTTTTCCTAAGCTGTGCTAAATTACAGGTTTTGGCACATGTTGAAGCAATAACTACATAATTAACATTTAGCAAATCCCTTTCTGCATTCTTAATTACACCTCCTTCTACACACAGAGAGCCCACGTTTCCCTTTATAGCACCAGGCAGAGTTGCCAAGTGTTTGGCTTGTCTTAGAGTTGCAGTTGGAATCAAGTTTAAAATAGTATCCAAGGTACCTTGTATCAGCAAGATCAAAAGTGAGCTTTATGGAGACAATACAACGTAGCTTATAATTGCAGTTGAGCTTGATACTCAAAGCTAGTTGCAGATTAGTTTCCTGTTGTGATGGCAAAGTACTGCCACCCAGCTGGAGATGTGGATATGTTCCCTGCTACTGACCACATTGCCTTGTTCCTTAATTGCTAGGGTGGAATTAAATTGCTCTTCCTGTTACACTTGTAATGGGAAGTAGATTTCCTTGAATCTAAGCTGATTAATGAAGAAACACTGAAAAGCAACAAACTCCAATTTCAATCAGTTGGTCTCCTTGCTAAATGTAAAGATCTAATTTTATACTTTGCTGTTTTCAGATTGATCACCCACTGGCTGAAAATATTGAGCGAGAAGCTTTTCATCTCTCTTCCCGTCTCATTAGCGCACCGTATCGCAGAATGGTGCGAGCTCTTGTCTTCTCATTAAAGCACAAACCTGAAATCCAAGCAGAAGTCAAGACTGGCACACTCACTGTCCCTGTGTTTGTACAGAGCCATAAAAAGTGAGGTGTCCTGCTTGATCCTGAGTGAGAACTTCATGTGCCTACATCTCTGTCGAACTGGGAGCCCTTTCTGTCGTGAGGGGAGTGCAGAAGTGCTGACAGTGTGACTCGCTTGGCACCACTCTGTGAGCAGGGCTGCTGAACTACAAGAACTACTAATGATGAAAGTGGTGCTGTAAATCTGACTTGGTAGAAATCCACATGGGCTTGTTGCAAGAAAACTTTCTTCTACTCTGCTGTATATTTTCCTGCTACAAAACCATCCTTGCTGACTCACCTGTTTCTCACTTCTGTCCGTTTGTCATACCTCAGTTTGGCTCCATCCCTGATGTGGATCTTCAGGTGTAATCAGCTGAATAACATAAAGGAGCAGCTCTGTGCTGTGCTGGTAGGAAGTACTGAGAATTCAGGGTAATTGGTCCATGGAAGGAGAATCCTAGTGGATAACTGCAAACTCTAATTAACCCTAAATCAGCGGCATCTGCTGCAGCTGGGCCCTGCCCGTGGCAAGAGCTAGCTGTTTTGCCAAGCCAGGTTATTTCCCTTTGCTGCATTCCAGAGTTGGGTGCAAAATGGGTTTCAATAACTTGCTATCCACCATTCCATAGGCTCAGTATCCAGGCTCAGTCATCCAGTGATTGTGGGCATTTTCTAAAGCCCTGGGGTGAAAATCGAAATGCCTTGGAGTATAGGTGCTATTTAATGCCTCTGCTGTTTAATGAGCAGCTCGCTCAGACTTCCATACCTCACTCATGATTTAAATGTGGTGCTTGTTTTTACTGTAACGTGAAAAAACTTGAAATGAATTTTCTAAATAAAATCAGGTTATAAGCAAAATACTCCTTTTAAAGGCTTTTTTCCTCCAAAAGGAACATGGTTCAGAATGATTGTGTGAACAAATCTAAGCAACAAACTATTGTTTTAATTCCTTCTAGTTATTAGAAACTGGAAAACTTGCCTCTTGTATTTGCTCTGATTTCTTTAGTGCCAGAAGTCATCTTGTTCTCCATAAGCTATTAAAGCACAGTGTTTCTCTACTGGTAGGTAATAAAGTGCTCTCTGTTCTCTCTGTGTGTGTGTACGTACACAAGGGACTGGTCACAAACCTTTTTCTGAGTTATCAGGGTAGACAGAACCAAATACTGGGATGAGTGAAACCTGCCTATTCACAGTCATGGGAATTGAAGTCTTAATATACCGTAAGGAAGTGTCTTTTGATCAGTCGTGGTCAGCACTCTTATTTCAGAAGGGTCACTTAAGGACAAATAATGCAGTGGGAAAACTATGAATTAGTCTTTATTCAGATCTTCACCCTAAAACATGACTGACTGTCATTACGTGAACCTGCTAAATACTTTTTTCTTCGGTGGACGCTGGAAGCTAAAGAAACACCCGAAACTTACCTGAGGTGTTGAACTCCATAAATTTAATTAGATAATTGCAGGTTCTCTTAAAAACATTTCAAACCTGCCTTGTTTGCTTGGGCCAGTGCAAGACCGTTTTTTTTCTGTACACATTGTGAAGGTATCTTCAAACAGCTGGCTTTTCTGAAAACAGTGGTGCTCTGACATACAGACATTTCGTTTGTAGAAAGTTAAGGTTAGGTGTGTTGGAGACAGTATGAGACAGAAACTGGCAGCTATATGGGTGGTGGCTATATGGATAATACATCAGTGAAGACTTAGAGCTTGTTGACCAGACTGTAGCAAGAGATGTGAAAACCCTCCATTTATTTCTTATAAGTAATCAGCTCCATTTCCCACTTAAATACCTTCGAACTGCACAGCTGTAATTGAATTCACGTATCCTGGACTGTCATGGAAGGGGTTCAGGACCAATGAACAACCTAGCTTTTTCTTCCAGAGCTGCAATGCCAAGACCTGCGGTATTTATTTTCAGCTTTCTGTTCCTGGTGCTGGGCTGTGTTTTCTCTATTTAAGTAATGTGTGAGAAGCAAAAGTCCCAAAAATGAGGAACTTCGGTCCCTGAAAGCCAGGCCAGAGAAGTTTCCCACACAGGTCAGATACAGTCAGAGAACTTTGGCTTATCTGAACACACGGCCAGTTTACGCTGCGCTTTGCGTTGGTTTGCAAGACAGGTCTAGGAATCACCCAAATTTTTGTGATGCACAGTGCAGGTAACAACTGAGGACAACTGCTGTCTGAAAGTGAACTACTCTATAGCAATGGCAGTTCTACTCTGAAAACAGCAACTCAGCAAGATTCACTTTTGTTTTTACAGCTTAGCCCTGGGAACCAACTGAGAGAGGGGAAAGTGATGTGGATGATTTTTTCCTCTCTTGTTAGTAAACAGTCCCATGGAAAGGATGCCATTCATGACACAGCACTGTAAAATTTAAGAGCAAGAGCAACATAGATACAAACAAGGACCTGCCATGGCCCAGAGCACCCCTGTGTGGTTTGTAACGTGTGGAGGAATGGGAGGATGGTGGGGAATGCCAGCCGTGTGCTCAAGCTGTATTTAGAAAAAAGCAAAACTACAACCTGACCGCATCTCATCCTCTGTGCATCCCTTTTGAAGTGGCGCAAGCCAAAAGAGATACCAGCCGCTGTCAGCAGGCCTGTCCGAGATCCGTTCGCTGTAACCTTACAGGCTGTCCAAACATCAGCTGGGCTTAGCGTGGGACAGCCAGTGCCTCCCTCCGTCCGCAGACAGCGTGGAACAACTGAGAGGTGCGTGTGAGCTCTTCTGCTCCACACACACTACAAGCTCAGTCTGTCCTATGCCATCAGACTCTGTTTTGGGATATAAGCAAAGCTCTGCCAGGCCCATCTCTTCCAGATGACTTTTTTCATGCCCTCTCCTGGTCCCTGACACCTTCCTTTTCAGAGCAGCCTTCAGGGAAGAGAGGTTTTGTTTGTTTGTTTGGTCTACTTCGGATACCTTCAGCTCTTTAAGCTAGACATGGCAGAAAAGATTTTTTTTTTTTAACTTCATTCTCAATACGTGCCAAATATTTTTCTTTTGGGAATTCATTGCAGGGATGCAGAGTTACTGCACACCAGGAGAAAACCCTCTTATGAGTTTCCTCTATTTTATGGCTAATATTTTTGCCTAACTTGTTTTCGAAGGGACCTAAGCATATAGCTCTGGGTCCAGCTCTTGCAACTCGATATTAAAGCTGGCAGTATCATTTGGGCTGAAGATTCACAGACTCAGCTTTGCATAAAACTGACTGTCTGGAGGAACTGGAAAAGGTCCCTGAGGGTCAGACTTGAGACCTGCAGCACAGGATGAAATGCAGAGAACAAGGGAATGTTTCAGGACAAAAACAGAAAGGAAGGTGGGGAAGGAAGACAAAAATAGAGACAAAAAAGCAATAGGCCAAAATAGGGCTTCATTTTCCCAAAGAGCGTTGCTGAATGTGACAACGGGATACTCGATACCTGACAGTAATCAAGTTTTTAATTATGCTATAAAGACCAGATTCCCCCCTTGGAGCAACCTCACCTACACAACTGCATTTATTTATGCCTAGTCATATGCCTAGGAAGCAGTTTGCTACTCCTCCAGCTAAAGCTGAGCGCAGCCCATTCTTCCCTCCCTCCCCGGCCAGTGCAGCCAGCGGGGAGACTGTGGATATAGCAGGCGGCCAGGGGTGGCCGGTTCCCAGCGCTGTGAGCTGTTCTGCGCTAGCTTCTGCGCTAGCTGTAGTCCGTGTGACCTCTGGAAATCCCTTGAAAGAGAGGGTCTGGACGGTCACAGGTACCTGAACCCTATGGAGTGCATCACTAGCTCTGAAACATCTGATCTGCTACAGTTTGCTTGTGGTAAACCCACTCACAGGGGGTCCTGCAGGACCCTCACCAGCTTGGGTTCCCCACCACATGGATTACACACCGGGCTGGGGGAAGAAGGGGCCCCTCACGCATTCTAAAGTTTGGCCTCACTGGTCCAGGCATGCATTTCTCCTAAATTCTGCTCTTTCTCCTCCGGTTTTACTCGGCAGCCGCTGTGCGGTGCAGACCAGCTGCAGGGTACCGGTAAGACACGTTACAAAGGCAGGGACTCTCCGCAAGCTCCTGTCTTCACGCTGGGGAAACCCTTTTAGATTAAAAGGGAGGATGAAAGGGCTGAGCGGTGGCTCCCTTGTGTGAGGTTTCTCCGGCATGGTGCCTTTGAAATAGCTGGTTCCCTTTTTATAGGGGAAACATTAAATCAAGAAGCCACCCAATCTGGAGAAAAGGTCCTTCTTTTTTCCCCTTTTCTTCCCAGATTAAGCCCAGCCCACAGATTTCTTTCAGTGAAAGAGTACATAAAGCTGATGGACCTATAGAGACCCTACTGCACCCTGCGAAGAGAGGAGGGAAGCACCTTCTGGAGGTGAGTGGCATCTCCTGCTCTCCTCCCCTGCCTGTGCCGCTGGTGCTTGGGGAATGCAGGGTGGGCTTGGGGCAGCGCCGGGAGGGATGGAGGGGAAATTCACCCCTGCCAGAGCTGACTTCTGACCCTGGCTTCTGAAGAGCGAGTTTGGGAAGGCATCAGGCGACAGCTTGTTCCGTTCCCCATCAGGAGGCACGGCTAAGGAAAGCTTTGTCCTGCTGCAAATTACTTGGGCGAAAGAAGACGGGAGTAGACAAGACTCTCCCGGTCCTTCAGAAAGGAGAGCGCGCAGCAGCTCACCGTTTTTCATCTTTTAAGAGGCTCTTCAAAGGTTTCTGCACAAAGAACCCAAACTTTTAGATCTCATTTGCTTCCCTGGCAGACCTGTAATACGAAGGGTTTGCCAAGCTGGCCCCGGAGTAAGAGAAGTTAAGGTAAGGAGCAGCCATCGATGCCTTTTGGAGCCCTGATCATTTGAAGTAGGCTCCAGGAACATCCCTCCCAGGGTATGGTAGCACACCACGGGGCAGGAGCATAAGATGGAGCCGAAACTGGGGGCTGGAGCAGAGGAGGGATGGAGGAAAGCAGAAAAGAAGAGGTAGAGGGAGGGAAACATGTCGGTGTTGTGGCCGCAGCCAGCAAACCCTTGCTCCTCCACGC